GAATGTGAAAATGCAGCCGCTGTCTCTGCTGCTACATCGGCAGCCGTACGCAACGAATGTTGATGGGAGTGAATTCGCGTGCGGAGTGTGGGGGGGGGCACCGGGCGTGAGGGGTTTGGCCACTTGGTGGGGCCGCGGGTTTCCTTTGGCAGGGTAGCGGAAAGGGGTCTGCTGCCCTGGCTGCCCTGGCTGCCCTGGCCAGCAGGCCCCTTTCCGCTGCCCTGGCTGCCCCCCCGGACTTCCAGTGACTGTTGCTCGCCGTTCGGTTACCATAGAGCACCGAGAGCTGGCGGTAAACACCGCGGCTTTGCCTGGCAGAGATCTTTATAATCGTATACAGTGCCCCTCGTGTGCAATGTCATGTTTATGGGATCAGTATGGTGGCAAGGCGCTGAGGTTTTAACGTAAATAGAGCACCCGGGTTGACATATTAGCGGGCCGTGAAAGCAGTCCTCTGGTATTAACCACGCCATTTGTCATGTGGCCCGTTTGAGCTATAACTTTTACGGTATAACGCGCGTTGTATTTAACTGCGCACGCAAGTTTCCACTAGCAATATCTACCGATTCATGACATGACCAAATAATATATACGTGGCCTAACCCACAAATGGGTTATGAATCGTACTAAATATTATTTGGGTCTTTCGGCAAAGGCACGTAGATGGGTCAAAGAAACTAACAAAAAACTACGACGATAGAACCAATCTACGTGACTTTACCGAAAGACCCAAAGAATTTGAAAATTGCAGTCACGAAAGATTTAAGTCAAGATTTGAATCGTAGTAAATATTGTATCTTAATGTTGTGTAGCAGCATCCGTAAAAAAGGAAAACTGGTGAGGTATGTAAAGTGATTCAGCCTCGTTAACATTGCAGACTGTCTCTCGCATGGTCTCCCCGTGGTCGCGTGGATTTTATTTTTTCTGTGGTTATTTTGGTTTTCCGCTCCCCATTTAGAATCAACATCCCCAAGCGTTTAGATTATTCGGCTGCTATAAATTTCCACGTGATGAGCCGGCTTCGCAGGGCTATCATGTGTGATAGATAGGTCGCTTCTGCAAAATAAGTTAACAGCTCAGTGGGCTTTACCTGGTAAGATATATATAAAAAAAATAAGGTTGTTTAGTTTTATTTGAATGTTTTAAATTAATGTTTACCTTTCTTATACTTTGCACTGTTGTCGTATTTTTTTTGCATTGTGTGATGTTGTAACGTTCTGATTCGGCCCTACTTGACGTCTGTAAAAAAAAAAAAACCGCGTTATAGCTCATCGGATTCCTCCAGCACAAATATTCTGCCGTGCGTGACCTGTGACCCGTGCGTGACCTGTGACCCTCTGCACGGGGGGCCCGCGGGGCTCTGGGGGGGGGGGGCCCGCGGGGCTCTGGGGGGGGGGCCCGCTGGGTTCCGAGGGGGGGCCCGCGGGTCTCTTTGAGCTACGAGCGCCCTTCGTGGCCCGGGCTCCCTGCTGACCCCTCACGCCCCACGCGGCCCGCACGTGGCGGAGGGAGCCCCGCCACGTGGTCAGTCTCCTCCTCCTCCACCACACCCCGCCCCTCCACCCCGCCCAGCGACCTTCAGCCCCGCCCCCCCCCCCTACACACACCATGAAACAAGTGGCTGTGACGTCGGCACGGAGCTTGTGCCAGGCTAGGTGCACTTCGAGGGCTGGCTCCCTTCCACACTCACAGCCCTTGTCAAAGCGCGCCGTCGTTCCGTGAGCAAAGGGGGGCAGCGGCGAGGGCAGCGGCGAGGGCAGCAGCGAGGGGGCAACAAGGGGGCAGCAGCGAGGGGGCAGCAGCAGCGAGGGCTGTCTACTCACCGGGGTAGAGAGAAGTGTCTCACGCGCTGCGTGCTGCCCGGCCTCCCCCAGCCTGCCCCCGCTGGCGGGTCGCCGAGACGAGAGCTGCTGCTGCTGCCCCCCCCGCCTGCTGCCCCGCTCAGCCACCGACGCAAGAGCAACAACAACAACAACGGCGGTGGTGGTGGTGGCGGTCGAGGTGGTGGTGGCGGTGGCCGCGAGGCAAGCGACGTGGAGCGAAGTTTCACGCCGCGCGCCGCGGGGGGGGGGGACGGGCGCGGGGGTGTGGGAGGGGCGAGAGGGTGCGAGGGGGCGGGGTAAGGTGGGGAGGGGGGCGGGGCAGGGCCAGTTGAGAAGTGTCACGCGCGCTCCACGGGGGGAGGGCGGGGCGAGGTGGTTTGGGGGGGGGGGCTCCAGGAGCCCGCCACGTGCCACGTGCCGGCGTGCTGTGAATGTCGAGTCCGGTGTTGTTGTGCTGCTTGGCCATTCATTTCACCCAGCGGTTAACAGCTCGCGACGTCTCACGACTGCTTTATTGCTCGGCTCGTGTCTTTGTGTGAGAAAGCAATGGCCCGTTCAACAACAAAAAGTCATGCAATTACCGTTATACAGTGTGTATATATATTTTAAACCTGTTTTAACAACCCGAAAACAAATGGATCAAATTTCATGAACACAAGTTATGAGCGATGCTTATCTTGTGGAAAGCAGCGAGTAACCCAGTGAGTGGTTTCTGCCACACGTGGACACCCAGTGGGTGAACGGTCGCCCCCACGTAGCGGTGCTGGTGGAATGTGCCAAGCATCAGTTCCTGTCGAGGCCAAATGAAGCTTGACAAGACTTTTAGGTAGGCCTTGCTACGTAAACGATTCCAAGTGTGTGTTGACTTTTCCTTCGCTGTAACAGTATTACATCTGAGAGCCAAGAACCATCTTCGTTCAAATCCACCTATGAGATTCAGATTTTAACTTGGAGATCTATGGTGGGCTTAACGTGTCAGTGGGCGGTCCAAGACTTACAATTTGTAGTAGAAATTTTCTCGGTAAATAATCTGAACTCACAATGTATCTGACGAATAGATACAGTCTCGTGTAAGGTGGTGATATTTCCGTTATGGGCGCCACGGTGGCGAGATGTTAACTGCTTCGACCGGTATGCAGGAGGTCGTGGGTTCGATCTCGACCCTGACGCTTCTATATTTGGAGTTTGTTCTCCCTGTGATCGCATGGACTTTTCTCCGGGTCCTCCGGTTTTTGCTTCCACATTTAGAAACATGCGTTTAGAGTATTTGGCTGATATCAATTGTCACATAAGCCACTTCGTTGAGCTATCGTTTGTGGCCAGATCGCTTTAAAAAAAAGAGCTATATAGCTCAGTGGGCCTTTCCTGGAAAAAAATATAGTTTCGTTTAACTTTTGATCGTTTCTGCAAGGTCAATGTTAACCGTGGTTGAGAACGTTCCTTGTGTCACCATGTTCAGTGTGCCATTGCTCCACCTTGCATGTATCTTTTTGCACTAATTGATCTGATACAAGATTCTAAAAAGACACCAATAAACGTGGCTCGGGATACAGGGAAGATAAATCTTCAGATAACGTGAAGCATTTCTTACAAGTTTATTCCAACATGTCCAGAGTTTGCTTGTGTTGAAGCAATGCTGCTGAACTTATGCACTCCCAGATAGAAGGCCATGTAACTTGATGGGATGGGTACAAAACACTTTAAATTTTTACAGAGATATGCAGGCGTATTATCTGCTGATTAATGTATTTCTCAATAACGCTAATTGGTGCTACTCCTTAGAGTAGCAATATGCTTCTCACCTTACATGGCTGTAAATCAGAGGGATTCTATCCTGTGCTGTACATTAGAAATAATCCTAAGCAACGCACTTCATGTGAACTATCGAAATCATTATTGTATCGTATATCATTCATACTGAGTTTTGCAGTAAATAGAAGAACAATACTGAAAGTGACTGCCCACGTCAACATGCCTCCAACGTTTAGCGCAACACTCGAATACAGTCGTCATATCCATCGTGGGAAGAAAGGTGGATTGTGTCGCAGACCCGTTAACCCTTTGTCAGGGAGAGACATAAACAAATAGACGAAAAATATTTTCCCGTATTGAAATGTCTGGACCTGAAAACAAAATTTCCCTGTACATGGATACGGGTAGACCGTATGGGTTGACACGGTATGGTGTCGGATCAAGTCGAATGGACAAGAGAGTCGATGCCGACCAAAGCGTGAGACCCTGAAGACACGCGGTGCCCATAATTTTGCGGGACAAATGTGTTCGGGAAAGGGTAAACGCGAAGCGGCCCAGCAATTGACCGCCTCCACAGGGAGAGTTCCACAAGGCGGGCTTTGGCCTAAGCTAATGTTTCCCTATTGAGAATTCAAATCCTTTAAGGAGCCACAATCAACTTACAAACAAAAATGAGCAAAGACAAGCTTGACTGTAGTATAGTCGACTTGGGCAAATATTTGAAACATGATTCTGAGCGCAAAGGGATGATAGATGAAAGTGGTGTACAGTATAGGAATTTCATGTTCATGGCCACAATAGTAATATTGCATTTCCCTATCGCCATATTAACGTTTACACCATTGGAAACCTCATTTGCCAGTAACAAAATATGATGATTGGTTTTTTACCCTTTTATCTGGCAACAAAACTGACACCTTTTTTTACAAGGAGTCATGTTTACATTGACCACAATACCTGCGGTCGGAACGCAAAAAAAAACAACTCTGATAATGTATGCACTGTCCTTGAAATTGATTGGTCCACACCCAAGACAGCTTTCTTTAGAGCCTCGTCTCACATGGTGTTGGACCAGAAGACGCCAAAAGGACAGTGCATACATTATCAGAGTTGTTGTTTTTTGTGTGCGTTCCGACCGCAGGTATTGTGGTCAATGTAAACATGACTCCTTGTAAAAAAAGGTGTCAGTTTTGTTGCCAGATAAAAGGGTAAAAAAACAATGATCATATTTTGTTACTGGCAAATGAGGTTTCCAATGGTGTAAATGCTTACCCGAGCTCTCATACTCTGATGGTGCATTGCCTTTGAGTTGTGTGACGCCTTTTGGCGTCTTCTGGTCCAACACCATGTGAGACGAGGCTCTAAAGAAAGCTGTCTCGGGTGTGGACCAATCAATTTCAAGGACAGTGCCACATACATTATCAGAGTTGTTTTTTGTTTGCGTTCCGACCGCAGGTATTGTGGTTAATGTAAACATGACTCCTTGTCAAAAAGGTGTCAGTTTTGTTGCCAGATAAAAGGGCAAAAAAACAATTATCATATTAATGTTGTTAACACGTTCAAGGCGATGTAAGGTGGCTTCCTGGGTACGTTTATGAAATAGCTACTGGGCTGTGGTGCTTGAGGTAATGGCTCATTGGGGTGTGTGGCAGCTTGAGTATACTAGGCTTTGCTTCCCCATTTGCCTAACCCAATAATCGGATGTTGACAACACCAGCTGACTGATTTAAAAAAAAGTAGGGCCGTGAAATATTAATCTTTTTTGTTCATTCTTTAACGAGGTCTCGGTAAAATATATTTACAAGTGTCAATGTACAGAAGGGAAGTGTTTTGCAATGGAGTTGATGCTTAAAAAAGAGCACTTTCATGGAAATGCACCCATTTACCCAGAAAAGAGTAATAACCTGGAGGTACAGACGTTTCGAGTTTGTCAGCCTCGCCATATTTACATTTTTCTCGGTCACAAGTTGGAAATTCACAATAAAGTAAAGTGTCCATACGTAGAAACAAAAGACGTGTGCACGCTTGACCATACATTCTGGACATTTCTGCAAACACTGCACTGTTGGGAAACGTAATTTGTTCATTGCTGCACGAGTATTAAAACATGGATCTGCCAAGTTATGTGCCCAATGGCACAGCTGCACCCTGCTGCATGGATGAAATCTCAATAGCACCATATGTAAGCGGGCCAAAATAATATTTCACTTTATCACGCGTAGTTTCATATTCACAATGGTATATACAGCACAACCGAAATACATCACGTTATTCTTCATAAAAATTGAGGATTGTTTTTTTTTTTCTCAGCACTTCCAGGGTTAGTGGAATTGCATTCGTGCATTTCTTGCACAAACTTCTCATCGTACAAAATTGAAGGGGCTGCATTAGCAGTGGGGCACAGGCACAAGCCAAACAAAAAAAAACTTGTCCACCGTCATAACGAACTGTACCACATCAGCACAATATACAGCGCTGTGAGCAAATGATCCATATGACCATTTTACAAGACGTTAGCCTACAATGTTACATTTCTGCTATAACACAGTGCTAATGACGCAGGTGATGCTATTTGGTTTGTGTTTAAATGCCATACATAGGTTGTTATTTTGCTATATGTATAAACACCTTTGGGATAAATAAAAAAAAGTATCAGAAATTTTCCAGCATCTAAACACCAAAATGTATAAAGATGCTAATATATGCTAAAACGGGTGAGTCTCATGTCAAAACCAAAGTTCACTATGTTGGCCGTTGCTCCTTTTTGATAATTTTCCCATTCACGCTGTAAGCGTGGGCGTGTAACACAATTTACTTTAATGTAACAAAACAACGAAATGTTGCCTAAAATCAATTGATGCATTTCAGTAGCTGATATGTAAACCGTGAGTGAGTGCGAATGGCATTCCAGGAGGTATAATGTGATTTGACCAATGAGTAACTCGAAGCGGCAGTGGCTCTGGATGGCTTGAATCGGGTATCCCGCCCATCTTCACCGCCGACTTTCAGCCACACCCAGCCGGTTGGGCACCTTTCAGAATAAAAACGAGAACCACGTGGCAGTCTTCCTCCTTCATCCGCCGCTTGGTGTTTGTCAGGTGGAAGATCTTGCTCGGTCAGTTCCAGTGCTGGCAATGTCCCTATTCCCCTAAGGCGCCTCGTGCCACACAGTGTCCACGTTCGGGGGAGCGGGGAGCCGTTGAGGTGCACGGCAACAGCTTGGCTCCAGTGTGGCTGCTGGGTCACGCCTCGTGGCCATTGGATGCAGGGGCTGCCTGGGTCTGGTGGTTGGTTTCGTCCTTCTGTGGGGGCCTCTTGCGGTGGAAAAAGCCCACCTTGTAGGCCAAGATGGAGAAACATAAACACCGGAATGTATAACACAGTATAGTCATTACATGAGGCAGTCTGTGTATTGTGAGTATTTTCTATTTTGGGAGTCTCTGGCAATAACTGGTTCCCAAATCGTTGGATGACCTTAAGTGTATAGAAGAGGAAGTGTCGTTATTATTTTTTTAATTCCATCTTTCAAAGCTCTCACTTTCCCCAAGTGTGTGAGTTCTCATGGGCAATGCAAGTTTTGATCACATATCTGTGATTGGACTCCTCGTAACACCGTGACCTTAGAGGTCAATGTTAAATAAAATTGGCCTCAAAACAGTGTCTCTATAAACAACCAACATTCGACTTTGCGAAGGTTTTGTCAAAAATGAAGAATGAGCCCAACGTTCAAGAAGCTGCCAGCATGTAAACTTCGCAACAAACGCCTCAATCTCTGCCTCACAAGTCACAAGTACAAGCGAAGATGAACAAAATTCTGCCGTACGTTACACACAGCATACATGACACTGCGACAGTACTGCGGTGCATTTCACGGACCGAATATCGCAACAACATTGCTGCATGATGCACATGCATCGATGCACTGCTCAGCAATCAGTGTATATGTACACACACTTTAATTATAATGTCTTATCGTATATTTGCATAGCGCCATTATCCCAGGTGCTCTACAAGAGTTATGAGTGGTACAATGAAGGTAGCTAAAAGTGGTACGGTGAACAGGGATTGGGGCATGGGGAGGGAGGTTAGTGGGTACTGGAATTACGGTGGGTAACCTAGGGATGGAGGGAAGGATGGGGCCCCGGGAGAAGAGGTGGGGGTCGTGAGCGAGGAGCGGAAATGAAGACAGGGAGGGTGCTGATCGCTTAATGTGGAAGGGGAAGTTTGTTGCAGTGCAAGGGGGCAAGTCGGGAAAAGGAGCGGAAACGGTGGATTGTGCACAAGGAGAGGGGAGAGCGGTTATGAGTAAGAGAGACTGAGAGCGGGCGGGAGGGGACATGCAGCTATACATAGTTTAACATACATGCTTTGTAAAAATAAGGGAATGCCACATTAAATGAGAGAGCTACCATTACAACCTAACAGTTTAAACATTATGAATTACGTTAATATTTTCAGAAACACTGTACTTTTTTTTACAACTTCACCAGGTTAATACACAAACTGTTGATTTACAATTGCGTCTGTTTATTAATATGGCTGAATCTTATCCAATTCTTGTTAATTAACTGTTAAACATACTGAATATCAATTATAAGTTACTGCAATTTACTTCCAGATATGAATGATGGGCTGCTGCTGCTGCTGTGATTCCCACTGGTCGTTTGCTTAAGGATGCCCCGCTCCCTTTTCATCTGAAATTCCAAATTGAGGTCTAAATCCCCACGCACACGGTCCACAGTCCTGAGAGTCGGTGTTTCCCAGCGTCAAAGGCATCTGAATATTCACCTCGCTTAGGTGGATTTGCAAGTGCATCGGACGTTCGCACGGGGGTCATAAACTTTGGCTGTGACAGCAGCCGGTATCGGAGTTTGCTTTCTCTCGTGTAAAAGGCCCCGATAGAAATGCGGATCTTGATTGACGCTCGTGATACCCACGTGCTCACTCGCGCAACTTGCAATGAACCTGCGGCAGACTAGCGAACCGATCGCGTCGATTCCTGGGCTACTGGAGCAGGAAAAGGGAAGCGCCGTCGACGTTGGCCCCTTCCCTGCAGGACCTACGGTTGGTTTGCCGAGTGCCAGCTGGCCGCTGTGCGTGCGCGTGCTCACCAGCAGCAAGGTAGCGGTTATAGACGGTAGGGTAGCGGTTATAGACGGTGGGGTAGCGGTTATAGACGGTAGGGTAGTGGTTATAGACGGTAGGGTAGTGGTTATAGACGGTAGGGTAGCGGTTATAGACGGTAGGGTAGCGGTTATAGACGGTAGGGTAGCGGTTATAGACGGTAGGGTAGTGGTTATAGACGGTAGGGTAGCGGTTATAGACGTAGGGTAGCGGTTATAGACGGTAGGGTAGTGGTTATAGACGGTAGGGTAGCGGTTATAGACGTAGGGTAGCGGTTAGCGCTCTGTGCTACGAACCGGGCGACCCGAGTTGGGATTCCTGCTCACGGCCAACACTAGGGACATTTATCTGAATCGGTGCTGGGCCTCCATAAGTCGACTGGGCCTCAAATGTCGCCACTTGGGAGACAAAGGCGGCCGGGCATGGTGTTGGCCACCCACCCCCTCGTGTGCCGTGCTCACTAACAGAACTTTCCCCAACAGTATGTTAAGGCTCTGCGGGTGATCTTTGTCTTAGTGCTCACCATCCACATGGCGAAGACGAGCAGGGAGAGCAGCAGCAGCCCCGAGAAGACGGCGAGCAGTACAGCCCAGAAGGGCAGCGGCAGACTCGAGTCAGAGCGGGCCCACAGCACCTTGCTCTGTACCTGCAGTGCACAATCATTCATTCATCACGCAGAGTCAGTGAATGACCGCTGTGTTACACGTGTGACCTCTTGCGACGCTGAAACTGCTTTTTGCTGCCATACACCGGCGTCTCGAGTGATTTGTTTGATCCACGTGTCACGGGGGGGGGAGGGGGGCGCCATTCCTTTACGGGGGGTCGCAGTCCACTTCAAACGTTCACCGCCAACTAAAGTGCGCGATTTGCTGCAGGAAGTTGTGCGTCAAGACGGGGCGACGTGTCCAGAAAGTGACAGCCGTCTCCTTCCTCGAACTAAGCTCTCAATCACTAGGAGACCGGTCGCAGATGCAACGGTGACATTTCTGACGACGTCGAACCATCGGATGCCAAGAAGGCGTCTTTGGCATTGCATGTGGAAGGACCGCCGCCAATCCAAATCAGTGTCCCTGAAAACCCCCGCTCTTGATAAAAACAACATGGGCGCCGTGAAGCAGAAGTTTTGACACGACAGCCTCAATGTAGCGGAATAATAACCCCGATAAAACTTTTATTGTGAGGCAATGTGAAGCTTTAGTGGAATAACACTTTTCACTGATTTAACATGTGAGAAGGGAATAATGGACCGAACAAAAATCTGTTGAATATATTCACGAAACGTTTACCTACCAGTGATTGCGCCAACAACTGCCCAAGCTCTGCGATCCTCTATATTAAGGTGTTTTCAGCCAATGTATGAGCATTTGTACATAATACCCACTCGTACACCCCTCAGCGCTGTTGCAACCGAAATTCAGGCCAGCCCACAAACCAATGTCGGAACTCTGAAGATTTGTGCTCCTGCCCCAAGTTTCCAGTCAACTCCATAGAGTTGACTGGAAACTTGGAAGCGAGCGGTGCGGACAGAGCAACGCGAGGTCCGTGCTCGCGGGGTTCTGTGGCTCACTCATGGGAAGGAGAGGTGAGGAGCTGCTTACCACCACGCTGCCGCTGGGGTACTCTGCGGGCTTTATTCGGTAGGGCACCTGCAGCACGTCGAACCTGGCCAAGGCCTGGATGGAAAACTTCTGGTTTTCTCTCTGTCATTGCGTGTGAGGAGACAAACAGGGGCACGGATGAGTGCGACCGGGCGAATTATTCACGAAGCAATCACAAAACCTCCCGCACCTCCGATTGGCAACGGTTGGCTACGTGCGGTCTGAAAGATGTTTAACATACAAAACTTGGAATGCTGAAGAATGTTTTTAAAATCTCAAAGTATAGTTATTTTCTAAATTGCACGTGTGCCAGTAACCAAGTTTCCAAATCACTTGTTTATTCAAATGAATTTACTTTAAATCTAAAGAATTCTGAAAGTAGATTTGACAAATTCAAATGTATAAGAACCATCGACTAAATCCAGCACGCGGCGCCAGTAGTGGCCACTGAAGAAAAAACAATTACGTTTTGGACAACGGTAAGTTACTAATTCGAACAAAAACAGGGGGATTTTTATTCATTTAAGTTATATTTCTGACTTCTCGTGACATCAGGTTGGGGCACAGCAGCTCCTTACGTAACAATGTTTAACTTCAGCAAGGAGATCTTAGTGATCTACCTCGACAGACAAGTTTGAATCATCAACAGCAAGTAGTCACACAACGATGAATTTGTGAATGGAGGGGCACAGAAACACAAGAAAGTCTCTGGGATTTTCCACGGGTGTGGATAAGATATAGGCGTGACTCCAGCTGCTCTCGGATGGGGGAGGTGGGGGGGCAGTACAGCTGCTGTGTAGGGGGCCACCGTAACAGTGATTCACCGCTAAGCAGAGTGAACTTGGCTGGGCCAGAGTAACATCTGTTGGTGCAGAGCCCATCCCAAGCACCCCCTAGCACCGGCCATGATAAGAGACGAGGTTGTACGAATGTCTTTGTGTGCAGCTCTGCGGTGCAAGTGACATCAGACGGCTACGAATTTGCTGCCTGCAATATGAGGAGAGTACAGTTTCCCAAGCATGTGCTTCGCTCGCCTATCTGCACGTGGCACACGCAACTCACGCCGAGCACTCTCGCTGACGTAAAATAAGCAATATCAAGGCTCAGCCTTGGCATCTCACTCATCAACGAGCAATTTCCCCGCGGCGACGAAGCTTGAGCACCTGCGTCGCATGGCTCAACACCTACGTGTGTTTACGGCAGCGACACGTGCAGTGATGTCACTAAGCCCTCAACTTAACATGACAACGCTGGACTAGTTTGTTAAATGCGATTGTAAAAGCGGGTCCATGTGCTGAAGAGGAATAACTCTAATGGTTTTTTTTTTATCCACTCGGTTCATTATGCTCCCACATTCAAACACAACGTCTCACAATTTTTGAGCTAAAACGTTGAGCTGAAATGGTAACGTTTGACAGGATTTTTCTTCAAAAGTGCTTGGGGATTTTATTTGCAGAAGATATCATTTAAGTTTATTTTCCATAGTTACACGTGAGTATTACTACAGCACATGCACTCGGGGAGTAATTTAATTATCAATCACGATGAAGATTCATCATATATACATTGATAAGTCTTATGATAGGTAAGTCAAGGATTGTCAACCAAAATAATCTACTCAAAATATTCCTGAATTGCCTTAAAATTAATAAATAATTCCAGAATGGCCATGCAACTCAACATCGAATTTGCCTTAAAATTAATAAATAATTCCAGAATGGCCATGCAACTCAACATCGAATTTGCCTTAAAATTAATAAATAACTCCAGAATGGCCATGCAACTCAACATCGAATTTGTCTTAAAATTAATAAATAATTCCAGAATGGCCATGCAACTCAACATCCAATTTGCCTTAAAATTAATTAACAATTCCAGAATGGCCATGCAACTCAACATCGAATTTGCCTTAAAATTAATAAATAATTCCAGAATGGCCATGCAACTCAACATCGAATTTGCCTTAAAATTAATTAATAATTCCAGAATGGCCATGCAACTCAACATCGAATTTGCCTTAAAATTAATAAATAATTGCAGAATGGCCATGCAACTCAACATCGAATTTGCCTTAAAATTAATTAATAATTCCAGAATGGCCATGCAACTCAACATCGAATTTGCCTTAAAATTAATTAATAATTCCAGAATGGCCATGCAACTCAACATCGAATTTGCCGAGCCATCCCAGGATTGCCAACCAATTGGTTCGGCCAGTGCCGGATTAAGCTAGTGCAGGGCCTGTAGCATATCTTATAAAGGGACCCTAAATAAAAACACATAAATATTAAACGACAATTTTTTGCTTACATAGTAAAGTAATTGTATTTTTTAATTTGCTATAAGTCAGATAATACGACAAATCGCTCACCTTAAACACCCAGTCGTTCATAAACGTTGAAGGCAGTGTAGTACTATAGTAATAGAGCAAGTGCAGAATCACGGAACCGGAATTGATAGCTTGAAATCATTTAGTGCGGGGCCCTTGAAAGTGCGGGGCCCGTAGCTACTACACATGTAGCTACTACATATGTACCTACTACTACATATGTAGCTATTTTTGCTACGAGGGTAATCCGGCACTGGGTAGGGCCCATCGGTAGAAGGGAAGCTGGCCAAGGAGAAATATTTCTCCTGCCTCAGCAGTTCTCCTGCTGTATTTTTTCACCTGAAGACGATTGCTTGTGTTGCGATCAAAAGGTCGTGATTATTTTTCTATCTACGTGACTTTACCGAAAGACCCAAAGAGTATGAATTCCTGCAGTCACGAAAGCTTTAAGTCAAGATTGAAGGAACAAAGTGAATCGTTGCATTGCCAGACGATGAGGAATTGTGACAACAAATGGACGGTCTTCATCCAGCAGTGGATAAGTCACGTCTCATAAGCATTACCAACACACGCCGACTGGTATCTCACTCAGACCAATCAGTGATCATGTAGGCTCTGTCGTTAAAATAAACATATTCTCCTGTGCTGCATTGTGCATTCCGGCCACACTGAACCGTTTAGGAGGCCCCTTATGGCGGAGGCTGCCGTTTGTTATGTTGTCCAGCAGGTGGCGCTCGAGTTCCATAATAGAACTTGCATTGAGATAATAAGGCTGACGATTGGCATGTTTCCAATTCACAATTCGATTCAAACGAGTGCAATTTATTCTAATTTTAAAATTGCACGTGGACTTACAGCTCGCTTTAAACTCGTATCACACTACTCGCAAAGGGGAAAAAATAACAATTTACACGTCCTTGATATTTTGTGATCGTGGAATGCTTTGATGTTATTTGCCTTGAAAAATACCTTCCAAGCTCAATGGGCTTTACTCTAGAAATGCAACTTCTGAACGTGTTTAATAAATGAATGTGGGACACAGTGAATATCTTAAATGACACAGTGAATATAATTTAAGCCAGGCCGTGAATACATGCTAAGCCAGCCTCAATTGTGGATTGAGATAATGCTGCCTGGGATTTGAACTCAGAGTCTTAATCAGCTAAAACAACGCAGAGTGTAACTCGTACTGGCCAAATATCCCAATTCTGAGAAAGTACCTGCAAATTACTCAATTGGCATTGCATGTAGGGCAGGACCCTCTTGAAAGAGAGTGTTGAGGATCAGTAAGTCTCTGCTTGGTAAACAAGCGTAACAATTATAATGGAATGCCGATAGAATCCAACCATGGCATCACATGTCCAGATAAGACATACGATTACATGAAATTACGTACGTGATAAATGTTATATATCACGTAAGTATAAGCACTGCCACGCCTGCACAATACAAATGTAAAGATGAATAGTAAACATTTTTATCATGCAACCGTTTTCCATCTCGGCTCGCACATCGATCTTCAAGCAGCCTGTAGCTGTCCGATGCGGCAGGAGCGAGGTCAGTGGAAGGCCGGAATGGACCGGGGCCCTATAAAACCCTACGGGGGGGGGGGGGGCTTCTCACGAACCGGCCGTGCCTCACGGGGGCCTCGCTCACCTTGAGGAAGGTGTCGGCCCAGAGCCGGGCCCGCACCTTCAGCACGGCGCTCTCTCCCTTGTGCAGAACGCCCACGTCGCACCGCACGTGGGCACACTCCGCCCAGCTGCAATTCTGGCAGAGAACAAAGACAAAACAAAAGACATAAGATTCCCCCGTATAGACTTGACAGACTGTAGGGGCAAGTGCTGTTAGCGAGCACCTATGAAGGCCGGAATTGTACACGAGGGGGTGGGTGGCTAGCACCACGCCCGACCGCCTTTGTCTCCCCAGTGGCGATGTTTATACACCGCACCAGGTACTCATTTGAGGCTGAGTCGACCTAGGGGAGGCCCAGGACCGGTTCAGATAATCGTCACTGGGTGTAGGCCGTGAGCGGGAATCGAACCCGGGTCGTCAGATTCATAGCGCAGCGTAGCGCTAACCGCTACACTACTGCTCCCCACACATGCACACCCACCCACCTACACACACACACCCACCTACACACACACCCACCCACCTACACACACACCCACCCACCTACACACACACACACGCGCGCGGCGGTAAAACATCCACCGGTGAAAAGTCCATCCGACGTCCGACCAGTGAAATCTACCCGACGACCTGGCCTGCAGGGTGTCTATACCCTTGTCCCACGCCCGTGCTTCAAGCTTGAACAGAATCATCGGAATCTTTATTTGTACTGGAGGAGGAGGAATCCGATGAGCTGTGAAGCTCTTTTTTCACGTATGTCCAGTTGGGGCGGGTCAGAAAGTTACAACAACAAACAATAAGAAAATACGATAGGCGTGCAAAGTACAGAAAACGTAAACGAATCACTACAAAAATATATCTATATAATGTTTATTTTACCAGGTAAAGCCCACTGAGCTATTAGTTTCTTTTTCAGAAGCGACCTGGCCACAAATGATAGCTAACGAAGTGGCTTGTCAGGTGGAAATTTATAGGAGCCAAATTATCTAAATAATCTAAATTCTTGTTGATTCTACATTGGGAGGGAAAGACCAGAGGACCTGGAGGGAAAAATCCACGCGACTAAGGGGAAGAGAGAGACATGCAAACTCCAAATATACAGGCATCAGGGTCGGGATCGAACCCCCGACCTCCTGCATACCAGGCAAAAACACTCACACAAAGGTGTGCAGCGTTGCATTTACAAAATCTCTCAACCCTATCCAGACCAGAAATGTGTGTGGCCATGTAGGTGTCAATACCACCAGCTCAAAGAGTTGAAAAAATGTGACCAACGCTATTTGTTTCCAGCCTGGATTCATGTTTCTGTTGTCTTTTAGAGAGTCGGGCCCACGTCGGACCCACGGCGTCGTGGCAGTGTCTGACCGAGTACGTTTGCAACGCTGTCGAGATCCCAGATTCAAGCCGAGGGTGGCCACTTCACGTCGGGCGTGTGTGGTGTCTCGTTTTTCTGGCGGGCCACACGGTCCGAGCTCGCAATTCGCAGTCAGAAGGTCGCGAGTTAAACCCTAATCGGGTGTTGACCTGACCTTTTATTCCTCTGGGGCTCAATAAAATGAGTACCACTTTGAAACTATGAACTAAACTATTGTTTTAAATGTTAGCAGGTAAAGCGCATTGAGCTATATCGCTGTTTTGCAGAAGCAACTTGGCCACAATTGATAGCGCAATGAAGTGGCTTATCATGTGGACGTTTATAGCAGCCAAATACTCTAAACGCATATTTCTAAATGTGGAGGGAAAAAAACGGAGGACCCGGAGAAAAATCCACGCAACTACGGGGAGATCATGCAAACTCCAAATATCCAGGCATCCGGGTCGAGATCAAAACCACGACCTCCTGTATACCGGGTAACATCTTGCCACTGCGGGGCCACATGAACGTTGCATTACGAATAGAGTCAACCTGCCACGTGAATGTGGAATATTCACTTCTGCTTAAACAGATGGGTCCTGTCCCAGATTCTCTTTGAGCGGTAAACCACTTTGACTTATGTTTACTACAGCGTTTCGTAGCGTTATAAATTGTAACTTTCAACCAAGGAATATGAAAGGATACTAAAATGTCGGGTTTTACTCTGTATTTGGTTGAGTCCAGGTTGTGGAGTTTATTTGAAAGCCAGACAGAGAGGGAGAGAGAGGGGCACGGGTAAGATGGTTGTGAAGTGAAGTCCTATGATGGTGTGTCTTCCTTGTTCCCCAGTGTGGACTGTAAATGCTGTAGCAGATGGTTCTTGGATTTAAATCGCTTCAACCTTTGCCTAGAGTCAAACTGCACGTTAGGGATCCAAGTGGTAAAACTGAACATACAAAATCCAAGCGGAAGGAATACACGGGCAAATTGTGGCCAATATTTTTTTTATATATATCATCACAAGTGATTGATGATACGTTATTTAAATCCAAGCTGACATCGGATATGTGTTGTGCGCCGAATTTTTGCTTTTCCATGAGGAAACATTAATTCCTATTGCATTAAAACCCCATGAAGGAATGAATGAAAGCATAATTTGAACTTCGGCGCACAACGTGATCCATCTGACATTCGAGCGAGCAACTGATTGGGGGGGTCACCAACGAATGGGTGCCGAATTTTAAGGACGACTGCGCAGCTTCTGAAGACCTCCCTGAAGAAAGTCGTCGTCGTCGTCTTTAGAAGTGTGCGCTCAGATCCTAAAGTTAGCATTACAAGACAAACAGGGCAGCTCAGTTGTTAAAAAAAACGTCTTCTCCTCAGGCCGTAGCTCTCCTTTCCCGTCGTCGTCCCAATCCTATCCGCGGTGGGCTCACAACACTCCAGGGAGGGAAGGAAGGCGCGTGTGTGTGCTTCAAATTACCGTGGCGGCATTTTAAAAGAGCCCATTGAACCGTCTGGCTTGTCTCTCAGCCTCAAGTGGGTGACCCTAAAAAAAGTCTCCCAGCTACACATGATAGACACAATTTCATGGCATTGGGCACTGTTAATGCCGAGAATTCGCAGTGTCGCTGTTCTGCGGTTTGAAACATTGACATAGGACATGCTTAACTGGAATGTCAATATTTAAATTATAGAAATGGAAAACGGGGAAAAAGATATCAATGATGACTTAACCTCCTTGGATATTTACACATTCCAGAGACAAAAATGCTCAGTAAACGTTAAAACAACTGCCACTTTACTCCCTCAAGAACATAAAATACCACTTCAATGTTTTGAACCTTTCACACAGTATTGCTTTTCGGCGTGTTTTTATTTTATTTTAGTATTTTACAACCAATTCCATGCCTATTGTATCATTGGCTTTGGTTCACAAAACAAAATGTATTACAATAAGGGAAAAAAGTATTTGATCCCCTGCTGATTTTGTACGTTTGCCCACTGACAAAGAAATTATCAGTCTATAATTTTAATGGTAGGTTTATTTGAACAGTGAGAGAGAGAACAACAACAACAACAACAAAATCCAGAAAAACGCATGTCAAAAATGTTATAAATTGATTTGCATTTTAATGAGGGAAATAAGTATTTGACCCCTCTGCAAAACATCACTTAGTACTTGGTGGCAAAACCCTTGTTGGCAATCACAGAGGTCAGACGTTTCTTGTAGTTGGCCACCAGGTTTGCACACATCTCAGGAGGAATTTTGTCCCACTCCTCTTTGCAGATCTTCTCCAAGTCATTAAGGTTTCGAGGCTGACGTTTGGCAACTCGAACCTTCAGCTCCCTCCACAGACTTTCTATGGGATTCAGGTCTGGAGACTGGCTAGGCCACTCCAGGACCTTAATGTGCTTCTTCTTGAGCCACTCCTTTTTTGCCTTGGCCGTGTGTTTTGGGTCATTGTCATGCTGGAATACCCATCCACGACCCATTTTCAATGCCCGGGCTGAGGGAAGGAGGTTCTCACCCAAGATTTGACGGTACATGGCCCCGTCCATCGTCCCTTTGATGCGGTGAAGTTGTCCTGTTCCCTTAGCAGAAAAACACCCCCAAAGAATAATGTTTCCACCTCCATGTTTGACGGTGGGGATGGTGTTCTTGGAATCATAGGCAGCATTCCTCGTCCTCCAAACACGGAGAGTTGAGTTGATGCCAAAGAGCTCCATTTTGGTCTCATCTGACCACAACACTTTCACCCAGTTGTCCTCTGAATCATTCAGATGTTCATTGGCAAACTTCAGACGGGCATGTATATGTGCTATCTTGAGCAGGGGGACCTTGCGGGCGCTGCAGGATTTCAGTCCTTCACAGCGTAGTGTGTTACCAATTGTTTTCTTGGTGACTATGGTCCCAGCTGCCTTGAGATCATTGACAAGATCCTCCCGTGTAGTTCTGGGCTGATTCCTCACCGTTCTCATTATCATTGCAACTCCACGAGGTGAAATCTTGCACGGAGCCCCAGGCCGAGGGAGATTGACAGTTCTTTTGTGTTTCTTCCATTTGCGAATAATCGCACCAACCGTTGTCACCTTCTCACCAAGCTGCTTGGCAATGGTCTTGTAGCCCATTCCAGCCTTGTGTAGGTCTACAATCTTGTCTCTGACATCCTTGGAGAGCTCTTTGGTCTTGGCCACGGTGGAGAGTTTGGAATCTGATTGATTGATTGCTTCTATGGACAGGTGTCTTTTATACAGGTAACAAGCTGAGATTAGGAGCACTCCCTTTAAGAGTGTGCTCCTAATCTCAGCTCGTTACCTGTATAAAAGACACCTGGGAGCCAGAAATCTTTCTGATTGAGAGGGAGTCAAATACTTATTTCCCTCATTAAAATGCAAATCAATTTATAACATTTTTGACATGCGTTTTTCTGGATTTTGTCGTTGTTGTTATTCTGTCTCTCACTGTTCAAACAAACCTACTATTAAAATTATATACTGATCATTTCTTTGTCAGTGGGCAAACGTACAAAATCAGCAGGGGATCAAAAAGTTTTTCCCTCACTGTATCTGGAACTCGAGAGAGAGACATGGCAGAGTCTGAAATCGCGTTGGGAGTGATCTCGGGAGAGACGTCAAGCATTACCTCCCCAGAGGCCTTCTTCACCTCGGCCATGGAATGACTCCCTAAATGCTGTGCAAAAAAAGATCAGTGTCCCCATGCACAAACGAGTCTGGGTCAGTGTTCATCTCTGCCAGAAATCCTTAGCCATATGGTGGA